ATCTTTCTGTAATTTATGTAAACTACAGAGTGAATCAATATAGAGGTGAAAACCTGAGTTAATCCACTTCATGATGAAAAAAGTTTCAACCCAATTTATCCCCAAGACCAGATCAAGTTTGCTGTCAAACTAAACGTAAAACTAGAGATGGATCGTATGTTTACAGTATTTCAGGGCCAATCCCGAGACTGATTAGCAGACTTTTAGAGAGTAGGAACTTCAACACTTAACTGTGTTTATAAACTTTTATGCATCGTGTTTATAAAACTGTGAAGATTTACAACTCCTGAAAGTTTTTTTTTTCATCTCTTTTTAAAAAAATTATATAAACTGAAATAAAAACGGCTTGGTAGGATTTAGTGCAGTTTTCGGCCATTGCAAACCACAACAATGAACCTACTGTTGAAAGACAACCTCTTGGCGATGGCATAATTGGCATTTTTTTTGGTACCATTAGCACAATCCTGCTCTCGTTTCTGGTCTGTTCCGTCTCCTCTCATTTTGTTTGTGACCAACGACGGATCGCCAAGCCAAAGACCTCGCATGCGGAGGCATCAAATCATCCGCCGCTTCCTCACTTTGGAGCAAAAATTTCACGGATCGATGCGCGCAGGCAGTCGGCGCTGCGTGGTTTCTTTTTGCCTGCCATCTCTGCCGAAACAAAGAAAGCGCTCTGTCTCCCCTGCTCGCCGATCATTAACCGACAAGTCTTCCCCGTGGAGAGGAGGGGCAGGGGGGAGGTGGGAGTTCTCGCCGTAATTGCCCGTAGGTGCTTATTCTAAAGGGTCAAATTGGAAGGATGTGTCAGAAGCGACGGGGAGGAGGCGGAGGAGGAGGAAGAGGGCGTGTGGTACTATTGATTCCAACATCAGACATAGCGGTGCACAATAATTCCTGCTCTTTCATCGTAGAACAGGGGTGGGCAACATAAATGCCGGAGGGAGCCATCAGTGCAACTGGGGGGGGGGGCACATGGGACCATGCACTTACTAACCAGATGTATGACAAAAATATGAGATCCACAAGCCTAACCCAGCAACAAAGGTTTTGAAGCAAACAACAAAATAACCAAATAGTGGATTTTTTTTTCCTTTCCCCCAGTGCAAAGGGCACTGCTACGAAAACACATCAGTTACAGTTTTGTCCTGCATGTCATTTCGAATCAGCGAAAAAAATGGGAAGCCCACTCATGTCATTCAGGGCAGTACACGACCGGGTGTTAAGTGCAACTCAGACATGTCTGTCATCTAGTGGTGAGTGATGATATTACAACTTAAAACTACAGTCGATCCCTGCGTATTCGCAGTTGGACATCTTTTTTTTTTCAATGTTTTATCATAGATTAGATTTGCTCGCATTCATATATTTTGTGCAAAAATTGCACTTTTGTCATACATCTGATTAGGAAGTCCATGGTCCTATGTGCCCCCCCAGGAGCACTGATGAAAAATCCCCCCCCCCCCACAACATCCCTGTCATAGGGGAGGATTTGTTTGTCTTCACCTTCAGATGCCGTCTTCGCCTCTCTCGGAGGTTATGGGTTGCAATCATCGTTCCCCCATCCGTCGCTGACACACGATCACCTACCAAGAAGCTCCAGGCAGGGCCAATTGGAAGAAAAATCCCTGCAAGCTCAGAGCCCCGTCTAACTAGGAGTACCCCTCTCCTCATTTTCCGTCCTGTACTGCCCTGGAGCCTGATTGGAACGCACTGGCAGACAGATTAAACCCCATCCGCTGTCAATTCAACGCTCCCCATTTTCCAGAGGCTGTTTGAGCCAGAACCAGGCGGCACATCTGGCCTCTAATCAGAAAATCCCCAAAATAGACAATCACTGTGAGTCGGAATGAACGTGCGGCGACAGGACGGCGGCGTGGTCGTCACATGGCAGGAGCGTCATTCGGAATATCGACTAATCCACACCCTACATACTCATAAATGCTGGTGTGCGTTGGTATGCGGATTAAGCATCAGGAGGGATTTAGCAGTGATGTATGTGCACTTTACATCTGGCCACTGCGCTCCGGATTGATGTTGGACCTTCGTTGAACTGTCGGGCGAGGTCGTCTGCACTCGTGTTGGCATCAATGGGCGGACAAGAAGGTGCAAGGCGGGGTTTTAGCATGTCGGGGAAAACTCCCGGAATGAGATTACAGAAGCAAAGTCAAAAGGAGAACATGAAGGGAGAGGGGATTACTCATGAAACATGAAACGAGGTAGTGACGAAGAGAGCGATTGAACGCGCAATACCTTTGGTCTTCGAGATTAGCGCAGATGAATCCGTGCAAAGGCCTTTTCCTGCTTTGAAAAGTGTCGTTGTCCATGCTGAGTCACAGAACAGACTGGATTGGTTTCCGGTTAATCTCAAAGTACATAGTGTAGATTGTAGAGAAATGGACAAATATTGGGAGCCGAGGTTTGACTTTTGCTGTTTCATATTCAGTTAGTTTGAATGTTTTTGTTTTTTTTTAGTTTAGGTATTTATTAGTTTTAGTTTTTGATTTAGTTTTTTTGTTTTTTGTTTTTTTTTAATATACATAGCATTTGCCAAGACCAGGAAAAGTCCACTGGAACAAAGAGGACAGTTCAAGTCAAAGAAAAAAAATAGCTACTTCGACTTCAGGGAGTTGCTCCAACCTGAACTCACTCGACAACAGCGACCCCCCCCCCCCATGGAAACAAAGATCGTCAATGCTAAAAATAGATTTCACTCTCTTTATTTATTACATTAATGTTATTATGTGAGATAACTTTACAAACACATCGTGATTCGTAGTAACTCCGGTAAATAGATTATACGTAATGAATGTCTTGTGTATTATGTGAATGTTTTTAAATGTACCTTTGTGTGAAGCACATTGAACTGCCTTGTTCACAAAACATGCTCTGTAAATAACGTACCTGTTATCTAAAAACACTAATTTTGCCTTGTGTTATTTATATTGACAAAAAAAAAATACTATATTCAACTGATATCAAATTCAGAGATTCGACCATGTTCAAACACACCAGTGCCCAATATTCAAGCCCAATCATTCTGGCAAGAGCTAAAGGCTAAAGGCGCCTCAAGGTGGGCAGAGGAAGGAGATTTACGAGGGAGACGTCGTATTGAGGCGAGGTGAAAATAAAATCCACCCCTGCTTAAACCGACACCATCCCTGGGTGGAACTAAAGACTCACATGGGCAATTGCAGCAGCCTCACCGGCTCCGACCTAATAAGTCAAGAAAGAGGAAACGCTACCAATGTGTTAAGTGGAACGTGGCGTGCTCAAAAGTGGCTAAATGTCACCAGATGACATCACACACGGCAACGGACGTGTGAATTTGTGACACGGTTACGTCATCTTTGCACTTTGCCTGCCGTCGAACAGGCGCGGGCCCCTTTTGGCGGTATGCATCGACTTGCTTCCCTCGCATAATAATATTGTCTGCCGGCGAAGCCAAATTACCAAAAGATTTCTTCATTTGCATATGTTCTGCGGCTTCCTGTCAGGCAACAAGAAAAGCATGAAATAACGGCTGAAACACAATTCAACACCCACATGTGCTGCCGCTGATGCCGCCGCCGCCGCCGCTACTGCTTGCACTTGCGCTGCACATAATTACAAGAATTAAGCCATTATCGAGAAGACGAGAAGAAAAACCTGCGGCAGTGGTGAAAAAGGTAATAGGAACCAGAATTGGAGTAAATTTTATGATCAGTCATCATAATATGAGACAGATGTTAACTTACAAAAAAAAAAGTCACCAAGAGAAAAGTGCATGTATAAAGTCATCATTTTAAGAAAGGAAAAAAAAAAATGCTACGGGGACAAAAAAAAAAAAAAAACAGTCACATTTCACAAAATGAGAAATTGTATCAGAATAAATTTGTTGCAGTGGAACAATCAATGAATAGTTTAACCGGAAAAAGTAGCGGGATGAGGAGAAATGTCATTCCAGCAGAATAATAACAGTAATAGACGAAGAAAAAGGTCAGTTGTGGTTTTTTTTTTTCTAAAGAGGAAGAAGAAATTGTTCAATTCAAGAGAATGACATAGTCATATTCCGAAACGATCATACTTTGATAATTACAGTTTTGCTCGTCAAACATGAAATGTTATTAGATTGAAATTGTACCACAGTGGACCCCAACACATTTGGGCTTTGGCATTCGCGATTTCACGTATTTGCAGGTTTTCATTTGCCCTATTCGTGCCTTTTTGTCCTTTTTTTTTTTTTTTTTTTTTTTGTCAAGCAAGTTGCTCAGAAAAGTCTGTGCAACTCGCAGCAGAGTCGTGATATTTGTCGGCAAAGGAGAGCGTCAGTCAACGTTCTGTCCAAGTGGATTCGCATGTCACTTTGATGAAAAGGACAGAAGGAGATGCATGTGCAAGCTGGACAGGTTGGATATTACAGACCCACACCCTCAAAACATATTTGCTTTTCTTATTCATATTAGCGACCAAATGAAAACTTTTTTCCGGAAAGGTTATACTTTTTAATTTAAAATAACTTCTTTTAACCTCCAGGACCAAGTGCATGGTCCCATTTTAAATCCACCTCAAATTTATCGTATGAGCATCATCCTATCTTTGCACTAAATTACTTCGTCTCTTAGGTGGGGCGTAAGTTTGCAAACTCCCTTTTGTTTTGTTGCTAGCAAGGCGTTCGCGACCGACGTCGACTGAGCTACTCGAGTGTCCGCTCGAATGTAGCACGCCCACGGCTTCTACGCATGCGCACTCCCCGCTTACCTTGATCGATACGAGAAACAAATTGACGACAATATGCTACGACCGTTCTGACTCAATTGAGCATACGTTTACATTCGGGGAAGCGCATCGTAGGATGTGCGACGTCATCCTCAGCAAGACTCCTTTGGCTTTTTCAGTGCGGCCTTCATACTTGCTCATACAATCTAATGTCAGAGGATGTCACGCGGCAATAATCGTCTTTTGATGTTTTTTTTTTCCTCAAAACAGAGCGACCGCTTTTTGACAAGATATTCTGCTCTTACCGTCGGTGTCTTGGCCCCAGACGGCGCTTAGCGAAGACAGGATGACCATTCCTGTCGCCAGCCATCTGATAAACCACCGGCCCCGTCGCATCTTCTGTCAAGCCTTATTGCCTGCCAACCTTGGGAGAGAGAGAGAGAGAGAAAAAAAAAAAAAAAAGATTTTTTTTTTTCCCTGTTTGAGTCTCATCACAAAAATATGCTTGGGCAACACACAAACACCTCTCCTCCTTCAGTAGGCTGTCACTTCCCGTTTGAAGCGCACTGAACAGAGAGAAGGCACTGGCAGTTTGGGATAAACCTACAGTATTAGTTCCGCCTCAATCTTAATACTCCTGCAGCATTCTTCTCTTGTGCTGCTGTCACCACGGCGCCGTTCGGTTGTTTGTTTGTTTTGCAGGGGTTGACTCCCATTCCGTTCTCATCGGGCAAAAATCCATGCTCGATAGGATTTGGGTCTGGAGAACGCCAACGGCTTGCACTTTTTGCCCCGTTGGGATCGGTTCCCACTCAATGACAGTGTGAATGTGGGTGTGAATGTTCATTTGTCTCCATATGTGCCCTGCGACTGACTGGCGACCAGTTCAGGGTGTCGTCTGTCTTCCGCCCGAAGTCAGCTGGGATAGGCTTCGGCGACTTCCCGCGACCTTGTTCAGGATAAGCGCTGTTGAAAATGGATGGATGGATGATTCACCATCTTAATCTACTGTGGCTATCCAGCCAAAAATGATCAATGAAGATTTACCAGAAACGTTCGACCCCTTGGCGACCCTAACGGAGACATTTCTAAATCATCACCACATCACTCGCTCATATCTCAGCGGTCGCAGATGCCCGCAAGAGCTCCTCCCACGAGCACAATCAATAAGGTCCCTCAAGCACATCATGTGACGCAAAACCAAATCCGGCGCTATTCGGTTAAAAGTTGGAAAAAGGAATGTCTCAAAAAAAAAAAAAAAGATCACACAACAACATTAAAGTGATTGAATCAAATCGGTCTGGACTGCAACGGAATCAAATTGTAAGTGAGCTTTGTTTAGCACTGCATCTGTTACTCACTAAAAGTAAAGTTCCATCTCATGACCCTTAAACAAAATATGCCTCAAATTAATAAGGGGCATTACGGGACAGATTTTTGGAAATACAAACCAACGCATCCTCAACATTATGAGGTTCCACTGCACTCATTTACATCCTGTTTGTCCTGCACACCATTTAAAAACAATTTTAAAGAGTCGAGACCAATTTTTTTGATTGAATGTTATGGGTCATTATCTTGCTCGCAATCAGTTGGCTGCATCTTCCTCCATTAAATTGGCTGTTGCCGTAGACTTCTGGGGTGATTTTGTTGCCGCCGTCATGCAAAAAAATCGTCAATTAAATTAGCAAGTGAATCCCTGGAGAAGCAACGCAAGCTAACGCAAGCTAACACAAGGTATGAAATTCTCTGCTTCCGACTTTGCTTGAATAATTGGAAGAGAAAACAAAAAAGGGGGTGAAAAGCTTTCAGATGAGATGGAAGAGAGATTGCAAGCCAGGTCCTCTCTGGAGACTTTCAATTTGACAGAAATTCCTGCCATCAAAATCCGCCATCACAATGTTAAAGGCTGCCAATGCATGTACAAAGTCTCATTGTTCCAATTTGTTGAACTTTTACAGACTGTTAAACCTCCCCTCAACTTTTTCCTGGCAAGTTCATAGCAGGTAGAGCTAACCCTCCTACTGGAAAGTGACAGAGCGTGAATCGGTGCGCCCGTGATGACAGCGTGATTGACCTTAAGTGCTGCTGCTGCTGCAGCACTCTGCGGGAAAACACCGCGCACCGCTTCCCCCAATGAATCTACCTCGTTACCCCCGACAGACGTGCGTCGACAGGGCACTTGGAAGGCCAACAATGGAACACACAAATTGCAACAGACTTCTAACAATGGCCAGATAGCGTGGCGTGAAAGATTGGTTAAGCAGTATCAAGTCGGTATATGTGTGACGGGCCACAACAGTTTGCAACTCCCTGTCGCTTCTAAAACCGCTGACACTCAGGTGGATTATAGATGTTATTTTAATGTAACACTGCAACACAGTATGGCAAGAAGAAGTTTTGCAATCGGTCCTCGACAACTATCACAGTGCATTCCTTGTAGCTCTGCTTTTTAAAAAAATATTGTCTCTATTCCTTTTTTTTTTTAACTGTGTGATTGTAGAGGGATTTGAACTAAGGCATTATGATAAAATGATAATCCAGTAATCCAATTTTACAACTATATACAGGGGAAAAAATGTTTTAATTGACTCATTTACGAGGTGTCATTGAACACATCACACGCAGCAGAGACGGCTGCGTAGCAAACATGAAAGGCGGCCACGAGGAATTGCGGGTTCGTACTAATGATACGATCAACGAAATGAAAAAGAACATAAATAACTACGTACATCAAAACTGAAAAGAAACAAGCATTACCCAGTATGGCGAGAGGAAAGGTGAAGTATAATAAGTCACTCGTTTACGAGGTGTCATTGAACACATCACACGTAGCAGAGATGGCTGTGTAGCAAAGCTAGCTTTGGTTTCGATTAGCTTTTTTTAATTCAGTTAAATTCTGTTTGTTTTTTAATTCGGTTAAATTCATTTTTTGGTGTGGGTTTGTGAGTCTTTATTGGTTTTTAATTTTGTCGGAAATGCCTCGTTTTTAGTTGTATTAGTTTTAGTATTTTTTGTTTTTTAGCTTTTAAAAAAATAGGGTATTTGTGGAGCTTAAAAAAGGCACGGAGTATGATCTAATAATTCCCAAATTAAATGCAATAGCCGCTCGAGTTTCTTTCTTCTGTATACTAGTACAGAAATATGAAATAAATAGATTTAAAATAAACCCCGAAAGGATCACGCAAATGATCACATTCATTGACAAAGACTGAAACAAAGGAAATGTTTGCGATATTTCCTGAACGTAAAATATAGTTCCAGTTTTTGTTTGTTTGGAGCAACCGTTCTCTCTTTTTTTTTTTTTTTCAACATTTTAGTTACGGTATTTCATACGTTTTCATTCACTATAATAAAGTCGTCCCAAGGGTAAAACACTCGCGACGCAACAATTGACTGTTTGTCAGCTTTAATTTAGCCTGCACATCCTTTACAATCTACCTGGATCAGTCATGACACTGACCCTCTCGCTGACCCACTCCACTCAATACACTCTAATTGATTAACAAGCAACGTATGAGAGGTCGCACCCTGAACTACAGCTCGACTAAAGAGAATTCATTTTGAGTGATCAAATCGAGCTGTCCCTAATCTTGAAAAGGGTTTCTCTGGGGTCCAAGATGTGAGCGAATAAAAAATAAAAAAAAATAAACTGCTGCTGACTGAGCTGACAAGCAGGCAGGCCGTACTGTGAGCACTCGCAGATCAACAGCAACACGGCCATCCAAAGAGAGCAGAAGTGTCATACGCAAAAGAACAGCGACTCCTCTGCTTTTTATCAATCTCATCCTGGTGCTTTTTTTTTTTTTGATGGCACACCTGTCTCCCACAAGGCTTTTTTTTTTTTTTTTTTTCATAGAGCAGGCGATAAGCTGTGAAATCAACCTTCATAGCATATGCTTGGCCCAGGACGATAGGGAGTGACTCGCGACAACACTAACATTCAAAGTGGTTCCCTTTATCCCGCTCCTCCATGGAAACCATGGAGGATATCCATCATGTGATGTTCATAAAAGCACGCGCGTCGTTTTTTACGTAAGGTGCCTTTGGTGTTCTTCCCCGTTCTTTTACCACTGACAGTCAGGAGTGACAATTTTAAGAGACCGCATTGTGGCAAACTAAAATGTTTCCAAAGTGAGGGCTGCCCAATCATGAATAACTGATGAGCTCAATGTTGTTTTCTGTTGACCAATGAAAAGACAGCGTCGTGTCTCGAGCCGCCGTTTAAGACCTGGACATACCCT